AAATATTTCTTAGTTGTCTACATAAATACTACTGTCATCTTTCTGAAGATAGCACATATTATACTAAAGAAAGTAATAATGGTAAAAATTAACAAAAAGATTTTAATGTAAAACTTATGATCAATAAACGTTACTTTATAAAGAGAAGAACCTATTATTCAATTCAACCTCTGTCTAATTTTATTTGTCATCTTTTTAGTATTTTATGTTATTTCTCTATTAAAACATTGTAGTCATTCTTTTTCAATTAAAAATTTGTGAAACAAATTTTAAAGATTTGATCTAGCAGTTTTAATTTTACAAATAAAAACCACCAAAAATGGGGAATCAAATATAGATTTCGTATTGTTAACAATATTTTTTATAATAAAAAATTACATATTCATCGAGAAAAGATCAAGTAAAAGAATTCCAAAAAAAACAAAGACAAAAAAAACATTTCTAACAAAAATTTCTACTTTTAATTTCAATTATAAAAAATACAAAAGTACAAACCTTTTTTTTGTTCAATAGAGAGTTTTAGGCAATCTTAGCAACATGAAAGATTATTTTTAATAGCATGTTGATATGCGTTGATATAGTTATCTAAAAGCCTATTTCAGTATTCTGTGTTGTTGGAATAAACTGAAGCAGGCAATCAGGTAACAGAAAATCCAGCACAAAATAATGTAAGTACTCGAAGAAAATCTAACGAATATTAAACCATTTTAATAAAATAAAAATAAAACAATTATAGTGAAAACAATACTCTTAACCATAACAAAAATGAAGTTTTTATACTTGAGCCGTAAAAAAACTGGCCTCTTAATTTTTTACGGAAAATGCAACAAATCAGGCCGTGTAATTCTAGTAGGCCATGGAGCAAGTCAAACTAATGTAACAATGCGTTTTTGCACCTTGTCTAAAAGAGAAAAGGCATCATTGGAAGATGATCCATGATCATCATTGATCCAATCCATCCAATCCATTGATCCAATCCATCCAATGATCATCATTGGAAAATCCACTCCAGATATGACAACAGTAATGTTGCCATATCTGTATTGTGCCATACCAGTATTTTTGCCATATCACCAGCAGCCGTGGCGCAGTGGTAGCGCACTTGCCTCAGAAACGTAAGATCCATGGCTCAGACTCCACCTCTGGGCAAGTAATATAAATTTCTGGGCAAGTTTTGCGACATCGGTTGAAAAGGAGGCATGAACGTCTTATTAAATGCTTATCTGTGGTGCTCTGTGATAAGACAGTAAGGACTTCTTGGGGCACCTAAAAAAAATAATTAAAAAAAAGTATTCCCTAGAAAGACGGATTTAAGATTTATAGAGATAAAAAAGAAAAACCCTGAGTAAGAAAGTGGCAAGCACGATAAAGAGATGCAACCTTAACTTCATTGCTAATTTTGCAATCAATTTGATATATGGTTTTAAAGACAGATTGGAAGTAATAGTTAATCCTAGAAGACGAAGAGTAGATGACTCATCGAGTACATTACCGTTCATAAATATAGAAAAATCTAGGTTATTGCGATAACAATTAGCTGAAAAAAAATTGTGTTTTATCTGATTTAAAGGTCACCAGCCACTGAGAGTCTAATGCAGTAGCAGAAGTAAAATCCTTTTCACACTCAAATGCCTCCTCCAAGTAATCAAAAGTGTTGGCTTTTTATCAAGACAAGAATAAATAGTAGTATTATCAGCGAACAATTCCACCTTATATCTGAGAATTTCAGGGAGATCGTTAATGTAAATTAAAAAAAAGTATAAGGCCAAGGATAGAACCTTGAGGAATCCCTAAGGTTACAGTATACGAAGAAGAGTGCTGTCCATTGAGGACAACTTTTATACTACAATTGGTGAGAAAGGGGTCAATAATTTTTAAGATGTTACCTAATAAACTGTAAGTGGAGAGCTTATGGAGAAAAAAAAAAGAATGCCAAACTTTATCAAAAGCTTAAGAAATGTCAAGAGCGATAGCGTTAAACTCTACACCTTTAACTAATGCACGATAAAATCTATCTGTTATTACCGTTAACAAATCAGCAATACAACGAGAAGATCAAAATCCATATTGATAATCAGAATGTAAGTTATTAGATTCAATACGAGAGATCAAGTGTTTGTTAATTAAAGACTCAAAAACCTTGCTTATGAAGACTAATGGGACGGTCAGATTGCTCTCCAAAATTTCTGAAATTAGGGATAACAGATGCCGCTTTCCAGCAGGTTGGAAAACAAGACACTGATAAGCACTTGTTAAATAGATTTGAAAGTATAGACGGCAGCTTAGGAGAACATTTTTGTAAAACTATAATAGTGTGTTGTCCGGACCACAAGATTTAGAAGAGTTTAAGTAGAAATTCAATTTAACTTCAGAAGATAGAGTGATACAAACGTTAGGCAATGAGTTAACTTTTGTCGGCTATATGAGGTAGAACTCGACTAGTGGAATCAAAGATGATATTGATGAGAAGTTCTTAGTAAACAACTCAGCTTTATTTTTAGGTGAGGTGACAAAATCTGAACCTTACAAGAGAGGTGGAGAGACGAATTTGCCCTTGTTATAGATATTGTTAAAGATTCTCCAAAAGTCACTAGAGCCTAATCTTTGAGATGAAATACGAGATTTTTTGACCAGAGAATCAGCGGGCTTTAGACAAAACCTTTTTACAATGGTTTCTAGCAATAGTAAACAGACGTCTGTTTTATGGAGAATCGTTTTTGCTGATAGATATGAAAGTAATGGTTACGATTGGAAATTGCAGCAGTACAACGAGAGAAAAACCAATGAGAGAGACTTGACTTGAAATTGTCGAGAAAGGAAAAGTTCCATGAAGTTACGTAAGAAGCACATTTGTCAGCAGGAAGACGAAATATTTTTACCCAAAGGCCATCACCAAGAAAATCACAAATTGAGTCCCAGTCAGCAATAAGGTATTTATAAGAGGTACAATCGTAAGGCGATTGAAGAAAAATGAGATCAAATCGTGATCAGAAGTACCTAAAGGTGAATGTGGAGTAACTGAGCACTAACTAGGGTCAGAAGCAAAACATAAGTTGAGTAGAGAAGGTAAATGATTCGTATTGTGTGGAAAGCAAATTGAAAAATTGACTATTTGTGTTAGAGGTTAAAAAAAAACAAAAGTTGCCTTAACGCTTGCAGAGTCATTGACACTAGAGCCAACTTCAGTAAATTTTCATATTTTAATAGACTTTCAATACACTTTTGGAACTACTTGAAATCGTCGTTTAAAGCAATACTTTTGAACAACTGTCTTCATGTATTGAATTTCTTTTTAGTTAACAATTATATTTATACTCGAGGTCATAAACTTAAGTTACGCAAATTAAATTATCAGTATAGTGTTCGCAAATGTTCTTTCTCTCTCAGTTGTTAATAATTGGAATAATTTGCCGTCTGATGTCGCAAATGCCAATAATATATGAGCTTAAAAACAAAAATTAACTCCATCAATTTTTAAAAATACTGTTCCAGCTGCATCTCGTGTAAATGTTGTACTTAATTTCTTAATTTATGTAAATGATATAAATAAAGTATCAAACTTAAAAAACATGTTTGCTGATGATACAAATTTATTTGCATCAAACCTTAGCATTACGAAACTTTTCTACGAAATGAATAAAGAACTTAAGCTTATCTCTAACTGGTTTAAATGTAATAAATTAACTTTAAACATACACAAAACAAAGTATATTCTGTTTCACCCATTATCGAAAAAACGATTTTTGCCAAACTTTATGCCAAAACTATATATTGATAAAATTGAAATAAAAAGAGAAACCGCCACAAAGTTTTTAGGAATAATTCTTGATGAAAATATCACATGGAAAACTCATATTGACTACATTAGCAATAAAGTTGCTAAGAGTATTGGCATCATATTTAAGATCAGATTTTTTTCAGATAAAAAGAGTTTAATGCAACTCTATTACTCCTTTATACATAGTTATATTAATTATGCCAATATTGCCTGGGGAAGCACAAGCAAAAGTAAATTGCAACTTCTTTATCGTCGTCAGAAACACGCTATGAGTTTAATATATTTTAACGCATTCAAATTTTTTTATTTAAAGACGCGAATGTCTTTAATGTATATCAACTCAACATTTATAAAATTTTGTGTTTTTGTTTAAATGTAAAGTTTCAATGTAAAAATGACTCAGCACTATCTACTTTTAAAGATTTTTTTATCAAAAAAATAAACAAATATATTTTGCGAAATGATAATTTTTTAAATGAACCACTTTGTCGTACAAAGTTCAATCAATTTTGTATTGCATATCGTGCACCTTATCTCTGGAACAAAATTGTTTTGAATAAATTTGATCTATCAACTTCATTTGAACTTTTTAAAATAAACTAATTTTATTATTTTAAAAATAAACTAAATTTATTTTTTCTATAAAGGATATAATGAATTACTTTTAATATGCAATAACGCACTGTATAATATTTAATTTTTTATTTATTTTTGCTGTTGTTGCTTTTACGCTTTTAAAAGGTTCTGACGACAAGATCAATATGATCTTCTATCAGAAACCTTGTTTATATTTGTAAAGCTTTTATTTATAAAGTTATTTATATAATTGTATTACGATTTATATAATTGTAAACTGTAACACAATATGAGCAAAAAAAAAAAAAAATTGTAATCTTTCTAGTATTGTTGTTGTGGGGCTGTCAGTGTCCCATTTGTTTTTTGGACCTGCGTATCCTTTAGAACATGTATTACTGTTCTAATAAATTTAAAATCAATCAATCGATTTTCATTTTAATTTGGCACAAATTTGTTTTGCCAGAATTTAGTGTGCAAAATTAAAATAAAAATTGACAAATTAAGATGAAAATAAAATTGATAAATTTAAGTATAGGGTACCAAATTAAAACGAAAAAAATTCTAAATTAAAATGAAAATTGCCTAACTTAAGTAAAAATTGGCCAACTTAAACCCAAAAATTATATTAACATAAAAAAACAAAAAGTAAAACATAAATATATTTATTTCTAACAATAAAAATGTACACTCTAATTCTAAATAGAATTAAATACTTAGTGGGATATTAAATAACAACAAAAAAATCAATAAATCCCATAAACTGTTTAAAAAGTTAAAAACAAATAAATATGCTATATTTTCTATTCATAATTTATTTTAAAACCTCTGTATAAGATATTAAAAGCTGTAACCAAATTCTGTTACCAAATAAAATATTTTCATAACAAAGACAATCAATAAATTCCACCTATAAATCAATTTTTCACCAGATGTATGGAAATATTCTGTATTTAACACGTTCGCAATACTGTTTCCATGCCAAACCATGTTTTACCAAGCATTTTTTTTCTTCCTTCATTGCAGAATAAATGAAGATAAAGATCAAACTGGTAGGCCACACCCAAGGTAGAAAATGCTTGAAACCTAAATATAATATTAAAAACATTCGTTTATCAAGATAATTTTTTTGTCAAGAAATGATAAAAAAAATTTAAAAAACAAACCACACGGAGCTGAGAAAGCAATACAAACAAGAAAATCTCCAAAGTAATTTGGATGACGCAAACAATCCCACCATCCATCAGCAAGCAAATCTTTTCCAGTTCCTGTAGATATGTAATCAAGTCCTTAAAAATTTTGTTGAAAATTTATATTAAAAAAAAGTTTTGAAGATATATTTTAGGAAAACCATTATAATATTATTGCAAAAATATATACATAAATGCATACATACATATAAACGTTTAAAAATTATCCCTTTACCTGTATAAAAGTTATCTCTTTACAAATTTGAAAAAAAATCCCTTTTATAATTTTAGTGGATGGGACGGGATGCCATCCCTAGAGAGTCCCATTCCTGCAAAATTTCTATTCTAAAAGAACTTCAGGCCAACTTTTAAATTGAGGTTTAGACTAAGAAAAAAATGATATATACCGAATTTAAATATCTAAATATATTTAATTACCTCAATTTAAAAATCTTAGGGTCCCACATAAAAAAAGTAAAAAAAAATCCTTTTTTAACGTCTTTTTTTAGTATTTTTGCTTAAAATGTTAACGAACATTTAGCTGTAACAACTTTAGCTTTTTACACAGTATTATTTACTATCTTCTTTATATTGTATAAAAAAATTTGATTTAACAAAAATTAATTTAAGGATCCCCCAAATAAAATATCAAACTTATCAAGTGGTTTAGTAATTTGGTAACGTCAGTAATGTAACTTGTGTCAGATTTCATTAGACATTTTATGAATACATATAAAAATGTATTCATAAAATATTTTATAAAATAGAAACATATGTGCCTATATAAAAAAGTTTGATTATCTTATTTCAACCAATTAATTATTCTTTAAAGATGGTCAGCCATTAAGGGATATTTCTTTTCGTGTTGTTTTTTTAGTGTGTTTTTCTGTGGTCACTACAAAAATGGATTTACATTCTGGTAAACTACTGAAACCTAGAGAGCCTCTAATAAAAAAGAAAAATTGTTTAGTGGAAAAGCAAGATGCAAGCAAAATCATCATCAAGATTACTTTATTGGATTTGGACTAGAGAAAAGTTTAAGTATCAGTGTAAAATTTCCCCTTAAAATTGCTTTGCTCATAAGATACCTTAGAGCAATCAACAAGTGAAGTGATGAAATAACAAAAAAGCGACAAGAAACATTTTCAAAGATATCCTGATTGAATTTTGGAAATAGAGCTCATTTCTTCAACACACTCAAAGTGTGTTGAAGAAAGAAAAGAAGTGCCCCGAGAAGAAACAGGGCCAGATTTTGGAATCAATGAATCAATTCTGTGATATATCAGCCGCTGACACATATCAATTATTATGTGTATCTCGACATGGAAGAAGGACTTGGAGTTTTTACTAAACCAAGAAAAGTATTCACTGAAAATTGTATGCATTATTTCAACTACATTAAAGTATTGCATTTAGGTAACTGCTTACATTTTACATTAGAATGGTATTGTTTATCTCCAATTAGGTTGGTTTGATTATCAGTTGCGACATAACTCTTGCACAACAAGAGAAGAACAAGTCTGATCGCAACGAATGCCTTGAAAACAGAGTCAACCCCCACAAGAAAGCTAAAAGAAAACAGCTCTAAGTGATAAAGAAATATAAGAAATCCTTGAGAAAAGTGTGGAGCAAGCAGCTCAGATGTTATCAGAAGTTATTAGAAGTTACTCAGAAGTCGAAGTTATTACTCTCTTCCAGCCAAAATGGAAAACCAGATTATCAACTGTTGTTACTCAAATTGATCCTATAACATTAAATCATTTACTGATGTCTCCAAACAATTAGGCCTCAGCGTAAGAGATCAAATGGTTGTTGAAGCAATGTTGTCAGAGTTAGTGGTGCTTTGTTACATCATTTTCCAATCTCGCAATCATCAGTTTACTATAACTGTAGGGTAGAACAAGAAAAACAAGGTGCCCAAAATAAAGGAGAAGTTTTTAGGAGAAGCGCCTTCTTTATCCATCCAGTCACTAGGATTCGAAACTTCTTTTGTCACTTACTGGTAAATAAATGATTAATTTATTACTAGCTCGCTGTTTTAAGTGTTTGGAAATGCAAACATGGAAAAATACTGGAAAAATTTAAAAATAAACATTTTTTCTAAGTTGTAACAAATTTTGTAAGAAAGAGGAGCATGTTGCTATTCTGGCAAGTGGTTGGGATGGGTCCTCAAATAATTCCAACAATAATGTTTTAAGCATTCTTGTAATAGCATGAATTACATTGGAGGCGACAGTTTATTATCTTGGAGGTGACTTGTTAACTATTAAGATGTTTAACTTCAAAAAACCTAGTGCGCATTATCGTGCAAGATTTATGCACACCTTGAAACTTGTCATATTGGATCAACAGATTGCATTGCTCACCAAGGATCAACGTCATAAATTGAAAAGAGTGGTTGGTTTAATATTTTTACTAAATCGCATCTCAGTTATCGCATCGAAAGTTGATAGTAAGTAGATCGCCAATATGCAGTAGATACAGACAAAGACACTTCTGATACAGCCATTTAAGTCTTGCAACAGACAACTTTGATATTTAACTAAAGAGCTAGTTGTCTTTGCAATGTTTGATGAGGACATTTTGCCTATTGATCAATATGCTATGGCATTGAAGCTGTGCGACACCAAAAGAAGAGAAGAAATAAAGCCTGGAAAACCATCTTTTAAAGTCAATGACGACAACATCCTTTCTTTTATCTTTTTAACTGTATCATACTCCTAGCTACTATTTAACCTAATCACAAATGCAAACCAGGTAGACTGGATGCAATTGTCTGCAAAGTAATTGCTATGAGAGAACTTAAAGTTACATCTTAACTGATTTTAATTTTGTGTACACATACACCACTCACATACACAGCAATAATTTAGGCATTAAATGCACACTGCAGACATCATATTAAAATAGAGGGTCAATGTATGTACTAAATGTATTATTTGAACAAGATATAAATAAGTTTCAAGAGCTGGAACATCAGTTTACTGCTTTTCACTGGGATGAAAAGATAAAAAACAATGTGTTATGTGAACTAAAACATTATACTATTCTAGTTTTAGTGACACCAAATTAAATTGAGGGAAAGCATTAAAGTGTATCTTTACTGCTATGTAAAGATTGAAAGCCTACATGAACTGAAGAAACACAAGACCAGGTGTTTGATACTACTTCCTAATACGGTGCTTAACATATTTTACATATGGAAAATTTATTTAGCTTTCTACTAGTCTACATTTATGAGCTGATCTAATTTTTTATACACAATTGTAAAAGAAATTCAAGTTATGCTTGGTACATAAATCTAGTATAAACAAGACATTTAATTGTAAAATAAAAGTGTTTTTATGTTTCTAATATCTTAATTAAAAAAGAAAACTAAAATAATTTTAAATTATTTTGTCCTTTCCTTTGTTTTCAAATATCTATTTAGAATTTACCTGAAATTGCTGCATATTGCGGATCTCTGCGAAAGTGAAACTTTTGCAGGGTAGATATTCGAAAGATGTAATAACCAACAGCTAAAACCAAAAAAATTTACAAACAAGCTAAATAAGTTAAAGTCTAGAAAAAATTATGAAAAAAATCAGCAAAATATATAAAATACTGATGATGTCTTGTACTCATTTTGGTATTACACTATTTCTGGTTTCATAACATTAAGTTTTAACTTATCATAATACAAGAAATTAGCAGTGAAAAGCATTTACTTGTTAATCAACATCAGTGCATAACACAATATAACTTTTATTATGTTTGTAGTTCCACACTTGTGTGGTTTGGATGAATTTTCACGTCATGTTTAAATAAAATGAACTTTTTATTTATCTAACAAAATTGATAAATGAATGTAAAACTATTAAGTATAATTTATTAAATAATATTAAATTAATAAATGGCTTACCAAATATAACTACTATTGGCAAATAGCAATACCATGCCAATGAAACTGGGAATAATGACAGATACCGCAATTGACTTGAATTTAGAAAAGGCACAATGACTAGAAACAATATAGATTCCAATAAACCACATTTTTCTTGAGATAAAGTTGCACTGTAATAAAGTGATTCCTAAAATAAATATTTTTAGAGGTGATCAAAATCTAAAATGTCAAGGTGTAATGTTAGAGCACTCCCTTCGCAATCAATTCCCGTCACTGGTAGTACCACATTTAACTTGTTTCTACGTGCAGCAGTTTTGATAGGTATTTTAGTATTGATAGTTTCCATATTTACACCCACCATGATGTAGAAATAAAATCTTGTTAGAAATATTATATGAAAAAAGGAAACAATATAAATAGTTATAAACATTTTATAAACAACTATTTTTATAACTTAAGAATAATTAATAAGTTATAACTTAAAGTTAACCATTGCAATTAATAGAAAAAGAAGTCACAAAAGAAATCAACTTTACAACAATGAGAGAAAGAATTAAGTTTATCTGCAGGAACATTTATAAAAGAAACTCCTCAACAAATACTTAAGATACAATATCCACTAAAACAGGGTGCGGTAAGAAAAATTTATACTGCCAAGTCACATAAAGCACACAAGAAACAACTATTTTTATGTAGTTTGTTCAAAAGAAAGGATCATATTTTATAAATATTGACAAAAATAATGAAAGGAAAAAAATATAAATATTGACAATAAAAATAATGAAAGGAAAAATCTTACTATATTCAAATTGTATCACATTACCTCTATAAATAAGTAATGCAACTATACCGTAATTTAAAATATTTTTCACAAATAACAAATAGTGTGAATATTTTTATCTTTTATATTTGTTATTTACTTCAATTTTTCCCAGGTTATAGTATTCATTACATTAACATAGTATTGATTACTTAAATGTATATACTTTTAAAATATTTGTTAAATAAAAAATGCAAATTTATGCAAGACTCCTCCCTTCTTTAAAACTACCCATAAAAAACAGCATCCACAAATAAATTCTGGGTTTATCACTGCCTGTTGCATACATTCCACAACAGGACTCCATAACCATAATATGATTATGCCATAATCATATTATGGTAACAACTTATGAGTAACTTTGCAGATTGTTTATCTGATAGGATGGGATTTAAAATAATTAAAATAAATGTAAAAATAAATGCAAAAAATTACTATTACCTCAAACACCATAGCATCAAGAATGTATATAAGTTGCATTGACAAAACCATTAGTAAAGAGGTATTAGAAAATCTTCCTTGTTCCCATTGTTTTGCAAAATACCACACGTCAATGATTGCCTTAATCAAGATTTACATAATAAAAGAAAATGAACTAAATATTTAATATTATATTGGTAATACAAAAAAAGTTATCAGCTACACTTAAAATACTCATTTTCATAACCATTTTGAACAGGCCATCATGTTAGAATATAATATCTATTTTTGTATTCTTACTATGGCAATTGAAAAAAATGATTTGCAACTATTTGTCAATTGATAACTAATTTTAAAAATATATTTAAAGTAAAATATTTTGTTAGACTGAAACAAAAATTAAAAAAATATTACCCAGCTAATCAAGCCAGCCTTTAACATAAAGGCCCTTAGATCAAATTGGCCTAAAAATAATGGCGAAACAACTTTACCACACATAAAATCCTTGATAATACCACCTAAAGAAAATATATATATATATATATATATACAAAAAACTAAAGTGAAAAATATATTTAAAAAATACTTCATATTAAACTTGATTTAAAAAGAAGCATTTGTAGTATTTATAAATATTATACATTAGATATCATAGATTCAATTAGATGACAGGTTCAACGCTATGGTGAACTTGTTAAGATCCCATGCCAATTACAGCTTTTTAAGCCATGTACATAATTTATTGTTTAAAGAATTTTACAGTTTTTGCAAAAATGATTTCTTCTAGAAATTTGTGCCACCAATTTGTAAACAGTATATCATAAAATTTTCCTTTGTTTATAGCTTTTACAAGTTCAATAAAAAAATGTGCTTGACCTCTAATGTTAGCACCTGGACCATATGCTGATATAGAATTTGCTATTTTTGATACCAAATTTATCCATCTAACGTTTTATCTAGTGCATCCAATATCAAAATCATTTTTTAATACCGGTATTTCGGTACGGAATAATTTCAATACCGGTAATACCAGTATAATACTGGTACTGAGTTATTTCTCATAAACACGTGTTCTACATTAAAGAGAGAGACGTAATGTTATATTTTAAATCACTGCTAGGCATTGAAAAAAAATGTACGGACTCATATATGTTTAGTCTATTATTTTTATAATAATGAAACTAGCAATCTCCAATATAATCTTATTTAATTCTAATCCATATAAACATTTTGTTCACAAAGAACGGTATTCATTAGAATAAATTAAGTTTAAAGCGAAATCGTGCACAGAACAGAAAAACACCAATTTTAGTTACTAGACAAATAAATTTTAATTCCTCGTAAAATATAAGTTTTAGCAGTATACTTTTTCTCAAATAATATTTTAAATTTAGTAAAAATTTCCAGAAAGTTACAGGATACCACTACTATAAAATTATCAGAGTTACAGCAATCATTTAAATTCAGTTCAATTGTAGTTTTTTTATTTTCATTGATTTCATGAAGTTATTTTTATGAAAATAAATTGCATGTGAGTATTTCCAGTGAAATATTATATCTCTACAACTCATACTTAACATATTTTCAATGAGAAATAGCTGTCATCAAATATTTCTGGCTCAAATATAAAAATTTAGAGCAAGCATGATTTTATATTTCATTACAAGCTAAACAAGCGTTGTTTATCATGCCTAGGAGTTTTAAATATTCCATTTTGTGTTTTATATGATGAAAGCAATTGTGCACAAGCCCTGTAAATATATTTTTAAATACTGGTATTGAGCCAACACAATACCGTTATTTTGGTACTTAAAAAAACCATGTAATATTGGTATTCCATTATCGGTAATATCGGTATTGGATGCACTAATTTTATCCAATTTATGAAAAACTTCATAACATCAATAATAAAAAAATTAGCAATATTTTTATTGGTTGATTTTAAAATTAACACACATTTCTGTACCTTAGTAACAGTTTAAAAAAAACTTTAAAAAAAAAATGTTTGTAAAAGTTTATTTATCTATTGTACTTTCTCTAGATGGATTTTTATTTAAATTTAAATTTGGGATATATTATTTATTTTAATCATTGTTTTTTATTTTTAATACCTGGATTAATTGTTGTTTAAACAACTTGTTTCTCCATGCAGCGGCCTTGTTTGTAAAGTTTGTGTTTCAGAGTTATAGAGTTGGGAGAGGGTTGTGACCACAATTAAAGTAGCCTCCTTAAAAGTAGTGGCCTTGGGGGAGGCAAATTAACATTGAGAAAAAAAATACAAATGTAAGTGTCGTTTTTTAATTTAGCAGCTCACAGTTTCCTGTTACTAATTTATTACTGCTCCGCTCTTTAAGAACATTGAGCACTCTTTTGTAGAATACACTAACAATGAATTGAGCCCAATTTTTTTTTTTAATTTACAAAAAATGTCATTTCAAAATTAACATATTGAACAATTATATATCTAACATGAATGTTTTATTAATCTTACCCGCAACACTTTCAAGATTTAAGAGTTTTTCTGGCCTTTCTTGAGCTTTTAACACCTATGAAGCTCTGAAAGACCTTATTAGAAAAACCAGCCCAATTATGACAAAAATATTCCAACACTATTGTATTTTACTGAATCGGGAGTTAGGAAATAGCGTGCACAATAAAAAAGGCAACTTTAGCAGATGTTAATTTTGCAATGATATAAGAGGCCAATACTAAAAGATAATCCAAAATGATGTAAAGTAGAAGACACAGTAAGAGTGATGCTGTTTATCATGATAATTTTTAGAAGTAAATAACTGGGTTTTATTTAGGTTAAATTCACAAGCCACTGCAAGTTCCAAGCTGTCACAAAAAAGAGATCATAATTAAAATTGGTTATCTATTCTAAGAGATCAAAATAATGACAGAGGTCTGGGTTCTGAGCAAGAACTCTAACCACTATGCCACAGCTGCATTTTATTTCCTAAAGACTTGTTTATAATGAAGAGAAACCCTCTAGCTATTGTCCAAGACAATAGCTATATTTAAATATATTTATAAACAATATTTAAGGAGATTTGGTTGCGAACTACAATTTTTTGAAAGAAAAAGTAAGGAGAAAAAAATTACATCAAAAACAGAACCTTACTTTTTTCAATAAATTTTAAATATAAACAGAAAAATTATTATAAATTAATAAAATACTCTCTCTCTCTCTCTCTCTCTCTCTCTATATATATATATATATATATATATATATATATATATATATATATATATATATATATATATATATATATATATATATATATATATATATATATATTTATATATAATAAAAGTATAGGTTTGCAAACTATTGAAGAATTATATATACTGCTTCTTTATTAAAAAGTATAATCCATTTTAGTGTTGTCCTGGTACACGGTACTTCGGTACCAAGTTGGTACTAAAAAAATTTAAACGTCACGGTACCAAGTTTTCTTAAGTACCGGTAGTACCGAAGACCCGTTCAAACCCGATTCCTTGATGCGCATGCGTGCAGTAGCGCGTCCTCTTTGAGCTGCTGAGAAATGGCGACCGGTGGTGCAGCTGATGTGGTAGCTCATAATCCACTTGTTGAGAAAAAAGGAAGAAAGAGCCATGTGTGGAAATATTTTGGATTTGCGGCTGATGACAAGGGGAATATCATTGATAATCAAAAACCCTTTTGCAAACAATGTTGCCGAAGTTTTCTCTCAAAAGGAGGAAACACATCGAACTTAATAAAACACCTCAAAGACCGACACCCGGATCTGACGAAAGAGTTCAAGCAGGTAAGTTTCAAACTAATTTAAAATATAGAGCTTCTGTTATGAATTATATATCATATTTTAATTTGAATGTCTGAACCAGTCGGATAGAAATAAACAGCCAAAAATAAGTCTTACAGAAAGATTAAAATAACAATAATAAGCTTAAAAATTAAATTAAAAAAATATATACCTTTTTTACGTTTATTTACATTCTATTGTTAAGACTTTTCTTTTAATAAGTATTTCTGTAAAAAGTCGTTTGTAAAAAGTTGTTTTTAAAAAGTCGCTCATAAAAAGTCGTTTGTAAAAAGTTATTTGTAAAAAGTCTTTTGTAAAAAAGATTTTGACGTATTTAATAGAATGACTTTAGAGAGAAAATAAAATCGGTGACTTCAAAAGCGAAATGTAACTTTTTAAGTGACTTCGAATTAAAACGTTTAAGCATTAAAAGTTTTGAACAACGTTCAATGTTTTGAATAAAGTCGTTGTTGTTAATAAAATTAATATTAAAAATAGTTCTAAACGATTTAATTTAATAAAAAAAATTATAATTTAGTAAAAGATAATATAAATATATATTTTTGCTGATTCTTTCCTTCTTCAAAAAAATAAATAAAAAAATTCCAAAAAAATAAAAAATATTTATCAAAGAAAACGTTTTAGCAAATAAGGTTTTATGTATAGTTTTTTCGATTAAAGTGTTAAAGGTTTTTATCGCATTATAAAAATGGAAATAAATATAGTTATAGAAATAGTTTTAAATTTATTATAAAAAATACATACTTATAAAATAAATAAAACTACATATATTATATTTAATTATTGGGAAAATCCTTCTAATCCTTTACTTTTTTACTTCCATGGTGCTACTAATAGAAATTATATAATTACCTACTGTGTAAAGGATTAAACAATTTTATACAAAAAGTATTTTTTAACAAAATTTAAAATATTTAATCTTTTTACAAGTACTTTTAAGGAGGTTTTTTTTTGTTTTTTTTAAAAAAAGAACTTTGTGTTTTTTTCAAAGTATATTTAAGGGTTTTTTATTGTAATGTGTTTTCTTTTTTATAAAATTTTGTTTTACAGCACATTTAAGTTTTTCAGTTTTTACCATAATAAAACAAGTTATATAAATTTCATAACTTTATACTCTTTAAATTCTGTAACTTTTTCCTTTGTTTTTGTAATCTTAAATTTGGTTATAAATAGTTTGTAACCAATCATAAATTGTTTACAAATATATAACATTTTTGCAAAAATAAAGTTATTTTACAGCAATTTTTTAGTAAAATAAAAACCAAAGTAACATATATAGTTAAAAATATTACCTGATGGTAGATTTTTTTCTTCAAAATAAGAATAACCAAAGACAATAAATCCAACAACAAGTGAAAATAAAAATGCAGCAGAGATCATCGACAAATAGTGAATAGTGATTAGCTGTAAGGGCCATTTATTTAAAAAAAATAGACCAATAAATAAACTTAAAGATGTGAAAAATGCCCATAAACCTGCACAAAGTAAAAATAAATTTCATTAAATTAATCAATATATATATATATATATATATATATATATATATATATATATATATATATATATATATATATATATATATATATAAAATAAAATGAAAATAGCTTTTTAACTAACCATTCAATCTGTATGTGATTCTTTTTACTCCCTCATTTACTGGAGGTCCAAATGCAAGCTTAAATTAATAAATATATATTGCAAAACTCTTTAAAATAATGTAGTATTAGATAAATTTCACAGGTATCAATATATATTTTTTATGAATAACTTATAAAATAATTTAGTAAAAAACCTTTTTTTTATCTTAGGTTATATATAGTTTTTGTAATTTAAAAATACAAATTTGGTAATATTATCCTTTTTATATATGTTCCTTGAATGCATGAACATGATGACCATGGTGAAATTATGATTAAGAAGCTATTAAACATTTTGCTTCAACATTTTTAAATTACAAAAACTATATATAAAAAGGTTTTTCACTAAACTATTTTATAAGTTATTCATAAAAATATATCAATACCTATCATAGTTTCTATTTTGCCTATTTTGACTTACATTAATACAATTATACTCAAGTTTAATATTTATAAGTTAATATTTAAGTTAATAAAACCTGTTGAAAAGCTAAAAATAATAATTACTAATTAAAATAATTTAAATACTTTATTACAGTTTTTTTTTAATAAAGGAAAAAAAAACACTTCTAATGATACTGTATTAATGTTTACCTTTCCTATTGGTACTGATAAAATTATTGCTTGAAATAAAAACCATCCGAATACATATGTAAGAGACTTCACATTTATAAATGTATCTAGAACAAACTTTTCTGGTCTTAGAGTTGGCATGCGTATAAGTTCACACTTTTTTTTCCCTTTGCAATTTAAAAACAACACAAAAAGTATAGACAATGTCAGAAATAGTAACGCTACGTAACCAGTTAATGACAGCAAATTTTTGAAGAATTGAACTGAATAACAAATGGTTTTTAAATGAACACATTCTTCGTTTGACTTGATTTGCTTAGGGGAATCAAGTTCTTCAGTTTTCTGATTAGAAGACCTTGTTATTCTTCGGGTAATCATCATTTCATCATTCAACTGAGTTGTTTGTTTATTTTTCTTCAATAAAGATGTTGTTTTTTTAGTAGTGTCATCAAAACTGTCTGCAAGTTGAGTAGAAGAATCAGCAGCCTTAATATCTGGAATAGTAACCTTAGAATCAAGTAGATTGAAATAATCAGTTTCATCGGAACTTCCTTTTTTATTGATTAATTTTGTTATTTGAACATTTGCAATAGTACTAGATTCAATAAACTTTGAACGCAAAATAGAACGAGTCGGTGACCGAGACCTTGGTGTAGAGGTCTTTTGCATTTTTTTAGGAGATTGATCAGAAGAGTTTAACCTTCTTGAAGGGGATCGACCTGGTGACTTAGACCTCTTTCGTTGTCGACTTGGGCTTGATGACTTTCTTCGAGATGGTGATTTTGGTTGAAGATAGTTTTCATTCTATAAAAAATAAAATAGTTAAGAAAAAAAAGAAAATGATTAAGAATCCACACAGAGTTATTATATAAAATAAAAAATAAACAACATTATGGTAAATAACAGAAAAATTTACTATCTATTGTCTGTAATTTTCTAAATTTATATTCATATAACACATAGGTGTAAAAATTTACTTAATTTTGTTTGCTTTGTTGTCAACACTGTTAAACAACTTGATACAGCAATATTTAGTATAATATATTTTTAAAGCACAAAATAGTATGAACTATTGAAACAATTAAAGGTTGATAAAACAGCAGATAAATTTTTGAAAACATAAAATTTAGCAGTTTTTATTCATATTTTTCAACATATGTTATTTTGAAAAAATTATACTGCATAGATAAACCAATATTGATAACTCTAGGTAAATCAGTGTTTTATGAGTAAACTTTATAGTTATTTAATTTTACATGCTTACTTATGTGTTTTGGTAAATGTTTAAAAGCTAGCAAAAAATGCTTATATATATATATATATATATATATATATATATATATATATATATATATATATATATATATATATATATATATATATATATATATATATATATATATATATATATATATATATATACATATATATATATATATATATATATATATATATATATATATATATATATATATATATATATATATATATATATATATATATATATATATATATATATATATATATATATATATATATATATAATTGCCATCTTCATTAACAACCTCCCAAATAACATTAACTCTTGCTGCAAAATGTTTGCAGACGACACCAAATTAATAGCACTGATCTAACCAGGAAACGAAGAGCTTGACACTAAAAGCCTGTAAGATGACATTAACAAGATAAGTGATTGGTGCTGCACTTGGCAAATGCAACTAAATCTTAGTAAATAGAAAGTGATGCACATTGGACAAGCAAACAAATCAGCGACATACACTATGCTAGATCCACTATCAGGCGCAAAAAGAGATCTAACAACAACAATGATATATATATATATATATATATATATATATATATATATATATATATATATATATATATATATATATATATATATATATATATATATATATATATATAAAATAGTTATTTGTTTCTTACTAGAATTTAGTTCATAAAACAAAAACCTTTTAAAAATATTTTTTTAAATAATTAAGAAATTTATAAAGCAATAAATTTATTAGTTATAAAGACTAGAGAATATTAACTACATATCACATACTAGACAGTATTTGGATGGAATATCAAATACGTTTTCATCAACATCGCCTTCTTTTTCAGTTAAAAACTTCACACGATACTGGTTTGAAATTGGATTAAAATTTTCTACAGAAGCTTTGTAATATAAATCACTTCCAGGCCATTTGGCATATACAATGTCTCCATCTTTATGCTTGGCTGTCGGCATACCTACGAGTTTTAACAAATACACATAAATAGTATATAAGTGGTATTTAGTTGTAAATTTCCATTCATGAATTCCTTCGGTAATGACAGTTGAATCTGCGCGCATTTAATTTTGATTGGTTGACTATTTCGTTTCCACACTGGGGGTCACGAAAGAAACTTGAAATAAGCCAAAACAGTAATAATAAACAATTATAGCATCTAAATATTAATGTATTTAAATTATTCTATCGCATCAAACTCATTAAACTATGTCTCATATTTAAAATTTAGTTGTTGTTTTTTGTTAATATAAATTAACTTTTCTTGTTCAGCAACCGTTAGCTCTTTACTAGTTCTTTACTATATTGAAGACAAAATACATTTAAGGAAGGAAACGTCCGAAAAAATGTTTTTAGGGTAATTGTACACCATTATTTTACACCAAAGGGTAATTGAAGACCATTATAATTTTATAAAAAAGTAAATCAAAAAAAAGTAAAATAATAATTACCGAGAAATCATAGAGGTTCGAAGAGGAAATTTGAATATCGTGGGTCAGATTTTACGATATAAAGTGGATTTTAAAGTGAACAATGACTACAAAGTGTAAATTATATTGTGCCTAAATTTAAGATAAAATCTACTAGTCATGCAAATAAAAATCAACAACTTTCTTTAAAGTTACTTTGTTTACTCGAGAACTAAATCACTTTTCTTTTTTTCTTTTTTTTTTATGAAAATTTTCTTTTCAGGTAAGCTATATATGAATACATATTTATCATGAACTATATATCAGTATAAATAAAATGTAATATCAAATATCAAATACTTATATTTATAATATAGTAGGTGGAAAGTGGAGAATGAGGGGGGGGGGGGGGGAGATTGTCTTACAAGTTTTGTTGACTCACAAAAATAAAAATGAGATAAAAAAAAGGTCCTCAAACTCTCCCACTTGGCGACTAGAAATAAATAGCCCCATTTTGCCTACTGTACCTAAAAAAAGCTCCAACTTGTCAACCAAAGGCACAAAAAAGTTTTCTCATTTTCATTCTATAAAAAATATTTGCACACTGATATTGCAAATATTTATTCTATCAAATAAAAGAATTGGTCAGATCTGAGAAATTTTCGTTAAATATCCTTATTACACACAATGTGTTGAACATTGAATGAAACTTGTTACGGAAGCCTCGCTTACATTTTACAGCTTTGACGCTAGAGACTTATGCCGTAGTTTGACTTGAAAAAGTATTATGCTGATAGTTTGTTGATAATGATTCTGCTTAAAAAGAGTTTCGGGTTGCCAGACGTCCAACTTTTACGGAGGAGAATACAGTGCCAAACCTTTAAAAATAAATTTATTTTACTGTGTTTTCCTTTGTAAAAGCCGGACATCTGGCTTTTACAAAGGAAAATCAACCCTAAAGTATCTTAAAGAAGATCTCGAGGATCGTGTTGTCAGAACCTTTAAAGAGCATTTAACAAGGATAATATAAACAAAAAACTAGTAAACTTTTACAAAATTGCTAGGTGAATAATCTACGTGTCTTAAGAAAGATCAAAAGAATCTTTTCATCAGAATTTTATACAGCCGTAAACCAACCTATAAATTTAAAAGTAACAAGTAAAAGAATAAATAGTTATAATAAAATTAACTATAATTATAATAAATAAAATAAGTAGGAATAAAAAATTAGACCAAAATATATTTTTAACTTTTACCACTACTAATAACTCAATATATTATCTAATGAAAGAAAGAAAGTTTTTTAGTTTATTTTTAAAAATAGAAAAAAGTAATATGTACTTCAAAATTAAAATTCAATAAAACAATTTTATTCCGAAGGTGTTGCGTACTTTTTTCTGTACTTCCCCAAGCAATATTAGCATAATTTAAATAACTATATATAAATGAATAATAAAGTTGGATTAAGACTTTTAGGTAGATTCGTGATTTATATAAGTTCCCCATATTTTTAGTAATTTTTGTGCGTTTATGATCAATATGATGATTCCAAGTAGTGTTTTTATCAAGATAAACACTTAAAAATCTTTTTTTATTTCTTTTTGAATGATAAAAATTTGAGGTAAATTTGATGGCAGAAATCACTTTTTTGTAATCGAATGGAATAAAACCCATTTTGTTTTATTAGTATTTACAGTTAACTTAGTACACTTGAATCAATTATATACATGTCTGAGTTATTCGTTCACTATTGAAAAGTTGGAAAGAGATAAGTTTGTATCATCTGCATACATAATGCTCGTTAGTTTTGAGGCTTTATTCAAGTCATTTAAATAAATTAAAAAAAGGAGAGGTCCAATAATTGAACCTTGTCGGACTCCACTGAATATATTAAAAAAAGTAGTTTGATAATCATTGTTAAATGGTAAAAATTATTTTTTTTTAGATTTTGTTTAGATTTTAGATTTGGTTAGATAGGTTAGATTTTAGATTTGGTTAGATAGGTGAGATTTTAAACCATTTTGTAGTATTTGAGTTTATAAGTTAAAATATGGTGATTGAACGAATCAAAAGCTTTCGATGGGTTAATAAAATTTTCTAGTGTATATTTTGATTTTTCAAATGATTTTAAGAATTCACGTACAAATTGGATAATAGCATATGCAATTATCCAATTTGTACGATGCATCTTCAGTTTGTACGATGCATTTTCAGTTTGTACGATGCATCTTCAGTTGAGTTATCTTTCTTGAAACCAAACTGATTGATGTAAAGTAGGTTATTATCGTGAAAATATTTGTATATTTTGTTGAACATAATTTTTTATAGAATTTTCGAAAATGTGGAATGAGCAGAGATGATTTCAGATTTGTCCCCTTCTTAAAAAATAGGAATGATTTTTGAAATTTTTGATTGTTCTGGAAATATTCCTTGATGGATAGAAGCTCTAAAGATTTTAAAAAGAAGAACTTAAAGTTGTTTATTATTCTGCTTCTTTTGAATCCCAGGTTGACATTGTTTAGAAGAAAAAAATGAAACTAATATTAGGCCCCGGTGAGTTTTTGAAATTCTAAGAGGAACTCATTAAAATCAAAAAACATTTTTTTACTTACCTGTTATAGTAATCCACATCGGTACTAATACTAATACATATCGATTGACTCCTCAGGAATATTTTTGAAAATTAGTATTTTATATATTAATTAATAATACATAAAATATTAATTATATTTTTATATTTTCGAAATTTTATTTTTTTTTGCTATGAAAATCGCGCCACCTTAATATACGTCTCAGTTATTATATAGATTGAATATTTCAAATTACTAATTGTTTGTAATTACTAATTGTTTATAAAAAATAAAATAAAAAATCTAGTGAAGACCCGAGCTGTGATACCAAATGATGCTATCGGTATTGGTAACAAATGATACCAACATATCCGTTACTTTTGATCCCAGTATTGCGTGATCTCGATATTGATACTGTAGGGTATTTTTTTTTTCTTCTGACCAATATCGTATAATATTATTACAATGCACGTATACATATGGAATCTCATAAAATAAAATATAAAAGTATATACATTACAACAAAATTAAGTTAAATCAGATAGGGGCTCAAAGAAGATAAGGATAACATTACGTTATCGCAATCTTTTCATAGAACCCCTAGGTACAAGTTTAAATAAAACAACGTAAGAATAACGTTGATATCGCACCGATACCAGACGATAAACCGAGACTCGACATCGATTAATTTGTGTCTTCCAAACAGTATTTTTAAACTTTATAATTGTTATTTTGCCTCTAATTTAGTTCATAAAACAAAAACTCGAATGTTTTAAAAGAACAAAAACCTTTTAAAAATACATCAAAAAAAAAAAAAAAAAAAAAAAATTAAGAAATTCATATGGCAATGAATTTAATAATTATAAAGAATAGAGAATATTAACTACATATCACATGCTAGACAGTATTTGGACGAAATATCAAATGCGGTTTCATCAGCATCGACTTTGTTTAAACAGTTCATAGTTTGCTGTTTTATTTTTGAAGATATAATTATTTCCTTTGTTATTTCAAGGGCTTAAAGGTTTTTTTACTTTTATTAATTTCGAAACTTTAGGAAATGCTTTATTTTAATGTTTAAGAAATTTATCTAAGAAAATCTCATAGGTTTTCTCAGGATTTAGATTTATTAGAGTTTCTTCCCGTTTTTCAGATGATATAATGCATTGCAGTTTTTATTTATGGCGTACACTGTATCTTCTTTACATTCGCCCCCACCTTGAGTTTGCTGGTCCAAAATTGCTATCCTCAAGCATGTCCAACATTGAGCAACAAAAAATATCATCTATTAAATACCTGTCCTATAAAAATTGACTCCAACAGCTCGATCTAATAACACTTGAAGAACGCCGTAAAAGAGCAGAGCTTATCAAGCAATTTAAAATCACGGGTCAACTCAAACAGTTTTTTCGTCCCGCAAAATCTTTCAAACAGTAAAGCTAAGTATATTTTGATAGGGCATAACCAAAAACTAGAACGCTAGCTTGTACGAAATTGTGAAGAATGACAACTTTTTTTCAAAAAGAGTCGTTGTTCCAATGATTGCGCTTTCCCAAGCAGCAGTGAACGCTTCATCAACCAATGCTTTCAAAGACAGCATAACAAAGTGACTTTAAGAGACACAATTGCTGCTTTGTCTATAGCTTTGGTGTATTTTTTTCGTCAGCATAGAGGGGCCTGATGTAGCACCTCTTCGTCAAACTATAAATAGATTTATTGTATTTGTTTTTATTTTTTGATCACTGAATTAATAAAAACAAGTACTAACATTATATATTATTATAATATTGTATTGCATTAACCTCGACTAAAAAAAACTCTTTTTTGTGAAACAAACGTTTTTCATAATAAAAGTTTACATCGCAAACGGATTGACACTTTTACCGGGGGACGAAACAACTAAAAAATACCTGCTTTGCATTGAAAACTATTTATTTCAGTTTGTCATACGATTTTAAAACTCTTGATAATTCAAATATCAAATTATGGATTTTATGATACAGTGAATATAAAAATAGCATTGGAATTTACACACTTGACTTTAAGAGCTTCGCATAAACGATTAATTTAAAATAATTTACAGATTCGTCATTTTTTTGCAAATTTAAGAATTAGATACATTAGTGTTAAAGTAATCTCTTTTTACTAAGTCAGAATTTTCGTCATCAATTTCGTACTTACGTTTGTAGATACCTAAATTTAGAGTTTATAATAAAATAGATCAAAAAATATTTTTAATGAAACAAAATTAATTAAGGTTAGACTCATTACCACTATTATAAGTAAGGATCTAATGATAATGTACAATAATAAAATATTATTGTTATTATGGTGAAAAATAACAATAATAATAATATTTTACATTTTAATAATATTGTGCTTGTTTTTTACATACCTCTGGTATACAGAATTAAAATCACAAAACAGTCATGCAAAACAGTCATGCTTCGCCAAATGTTATATGAAACATTGAGATTTTTTGGAAATAAACTTTCAAGAAGACACACCCAATAGATGAAATAATGAAATTTGAACAGAAAGTGATTAATAAATAAAAAAAATACCGAAACAGAAAACATGAAACAGAAGAATAAATTATAAAACAAAAAGTGATCAGACATGGAATTATTATTTTTTTTTTCAAAACGTTAAATTTCTAGAGAAATATTTCTAAATAGAAGCAGAAAAGAGAAGAAAAATATATTTTATTAAAATTTAAATATATCAATATTACTATACATTATGATTTTACATAAGTAAAGTATAGTTAAAAAATGGTTATAATATTAAACTGATAAGATAAGAAAATTGACTAGTCAACTCATCTAAGCAATAGATAACTCCAATAGATAAATCCTAGATATGGTAATTTTATATATAATATTTAAAATAACCTAAATTTGAAAAACTTCTGCTCGAAATCTATATAATATTAAACTCATATAATGACAATAAGTGTGAGATTGAAGGTTTGGTCAGACAACGCGAGTTTCTATGTGGAAAAAAAAAAAAGTAAAAAGATTGCCAAAATGACAGGTAAGAGAAAACTAGATAAATGCAGCTAGCAAGTGACTCACTCAAAACTAAGATTATTGAAGTTAATTGAATGCAAATTTGATTATAAAAGTTATAAAAGAAAAAAGCAATGAAAAATGAAGAAGACATTACATATTGCTCATTACGTATTGTTTGACTAATCACAAAGCAAAACAAGTTGTAAACAAAGTTCAAACAGATAAAACTATTTATTGAGATGCTACTTTAGAGGATTATGCAGCGTTCAAAGTTATCAAGCAAATGGATTGAAAATATAGGAATATTGTTAAAGAAAACTGTACTAAAAGTGCTAGACGTACTAACAAATTTAAGCCTTCTTTATTTAATGAAGTTAATTTAAAAACAAGGGTGTAATTAAAATAAAGAAGACTGCAGGGAATGAGGTTAGAAAACTAGCAAAGTAAATAACCTGTAGTGAAATCAACCAAATTAAATTTACAAGTTAAAAGCTGCTTGTCCTTCTGGTGTATTGGATTGAGATGTTAATGTTAAATATCAGAACTTTATAGATCAATTTTATATAAAGGAAAAATGAATGGTAAAGATTTATAAAGACGCACTAGAATGTGGTTCATGCCTTGGAGTAAGGTTTTAGGTAAAAAAGTGAGGAAGATTTTGTTGTTGAAGAACGGCTGGTAGCAGTTGTCATAGCTATATATAAAGTGTCACTACTGTTATCAAAGGAATAGATTGAGAGTGATAGTTTTAAAATAAAGATGGGTGTCAAAATACCAACTTTATAAATACCAACTTATTTATTAACTATTCTATGCAGATTATTTATGCTATAAACCTAAAATCGTTTACTGAAGATTTAAACTTGGTTTTTATGTTGTTGGTTGTTGTGTTGGTTGTTGTTACATTGTTGGTTGTTGTTTGTTGTTGTTATACTGTTTGTTACATTACTCAAAAAAAAAAAAAAACAATCAAAAGTTCAGAATAAAACTTTTATAAAAAACTTAAATAAACATTTAAAATCATCAAACATAAACAATTGAAACAAAAAAAAACTAAAGAAAAATTACCACTTGAACTTGTCTGACCTTGCTGCTGATATCTTGCCAAATATATAGGCTCGTATTCCTAGATAGAGATATTTTCATAATTTTGTCAAAATAATGGTCTTATTTCAATAATATATACAAAGAAAATAAAAAACACAAAGGTTACCTGAAGTTGCCTTACAAAACCTTCATTTGGGTTTATACAGTAGCGCTTTTGTTGAACATACAAAAATGACTTTTGATAACTTAGTCCATATGTTTCCATTATATAAGCAATTACAAATGATGCGCTAAATACATAATTTTTTAACTGTAACTTAAAATAATATAACAAAAAGGGCAAAAAAATACAAAGGGTAATATAAAAGTAACAGCAATATATTAAAAATCAATAACAATAATGTATTAAGTTTTATGCCAGCAACAAAAATAAAATCAATAATTATATAATATATAAAATAAAATTAATAATAATAATAATATATATATAAATATTTGTGTCTATTCTTCTTATTTTATATTTTGTTGGTGACAAATTTGTTATGTGAGATTTATATATTCAATTTTTTTTTTCCTACTATGTTACCTTTTGACTAGTTACTTCTTATTTTAACATGCATTTCTTTCGTAGCCACATGCAACTAATGTTTTATTAAACAACTAATGATCATAACTTGTATCACTAAAGAACCCTAAGTTAACTAAGGGCCCACTAAGGACAATCCAAATATTTTATGATTAGCGATTACTAAGTTACTACATATAAACTGAGCTGATCAGAAGTAATAAAAAGTTTTCAAGACAAACAATATATACACAGATAACATTTGGCTTTTAGTAATCTTAAAATTGATGTTATAAAACTGTTGCAATCCTTAACTTGATACAGTTCGGAGCTAAAATTTTGAACTTGTTGCTCTTAGAAAACTCTTGAAGCAAATTTTGGTCATTCTTATTTATGAATCAAAAATTATTGAACAAAAAGCAGAATAACCACAAATGCTCAAAAAAGATTCATGCAACATATGTTTAAACATCATTCGTTTATTATAAAAACTTTTATAATAGTTATGAAATGATTCAGGAAGATATTGTAGAGTTTTCAGATTGTTTAACCCTTTAATTCCTGTTTTGATTAGTATAGCATAACACTTTTGGATATACCCAGAGTTGTTGAGCCTATGCAGAGTACTTAACGCATAAAATTATGACAAAAACACATTTTACAAACATACCTTCTTGATATACCACCATTTCCATGAATAAGCACTTTACCTAAAATGTAAAAAACAATACACAAAATATTTCAAGCGTAACATTTGAAATTTAAGTTTTAATAGGACTAATGAACCATGCCCTTTAAAACTAATAAGCTATTGTCTAACAAACCATGAGATTCCTTAAAATACCTTTATGATGTAAGCATTCTTCAATAAACTCCTTTACCTAGATAAAATTTATTTTTTTAAACTTATAAAGTTAACTCTAAAAATAAGAAATAGAATTTTTACAGATGTATATGTTTTGTATCTATGTAGCAGTTAAAGTAGAGTTGATTTGTACTGGCGTAACATTCCCAGTTTTAACCAAGTTCTCAAATTACAGTAAGGTTAATAAGCAGCCTTTATGTTTTAGTTAAGAAAGAACCTGTAAGGTTCTTTCTTTTTAGAATTAAAAAAAACTAAAACATAAACATCGTAGAATAAATTGTGAACGTTATTAACATTAACATAAATTACAAAATTCTAAGCAGTTTGTTAATTGAATTTAAATTGCAATTTTAAAAAATTGTGAGTATATAGTATTTGTATATCATGTCATAGAACAAAAACGAAAGCAACAACTGATGCACAAAGAGACCTAATCTAGAAGCTTTTTTTATAAACATACATATTTTCTCCACTTTAGTGACCAAGTGGTCACTAAAGTGTAGAAAATACATGTTCATTTATATTTTTTTTTTTTTAACTTTTTCTTGACCTTAAAATACTGAAACAGAATTATATCACTAGTATTATGTTATATTAAATAAAAAAAAAACAGGTATAACGTTTTTTTTAAAACAGTATGTAGAGAAATTTTTTAAATCTGAAATGACAACACTAAAAAAGGAAACAACTATTCCTACAATTTTATTCACGCATATTTATAATAAAATTTGTAATGCAGGTGAACTTGCATTCTTTTTTGGCATGCAACCTAATAAGTCACTAAATCCTCAATCTGAGACTTGTATAGGCAGAAAACACAGTAAAATTTCTCTGAGCTGCAACAAATGCAGCAGGTAATAAAATTCCTGTGTTTATAATAGGTAAATCAAAATTACCTCGCTGCTTCAAAGGAATTTAGCACTTACCTTGCAGATACATCAATCAAAATAAAAGCTGGATGGATAGCATACTGTTCAAAGAACTGATACAGGAAATTAGTACAAAGTTTACAAAAGGAAAGAAGAAAGTAGCGTTTATAATAAATAACTGTCTAGCTTACCTGACAATTGATAATCTAAAGTCTATTGAGCTCATTTTTTTACCACCAAATACCACTTCTAAATTTCAACAAAGAGACCAGGGAGTTATACGCTCTTTGAAAGTTTATTACAGATCCTTGGCTTTGCAAAATGAAAATGCTTGATCTTGCAAAAAATGAAAACCTCCACCATTGTTAATTGTTTTGCAAAAGCAGGAAGTTCAGAAGAACAATAGAAACATCCAGATAAAGATGACAACTGCTTTAAAGAGTTTCAAAATCAGATAGAAAAACTTGATAATTTTTACCCTCCAGGTACAACAGCTGAAGATGTCATTTTAGATTAAAATTTAATAAGCAGAGTACCTTTACTAACAGATGAACAGTCCATAGATATAGTAAAAAATGCACATATAAACATAATGCTGATGACAAGGAAGATAAAGATGATAATGTGATCAACCCAGTGTGCCTAAAAGTTAGTGATATTCAGGAATCACTGCAAGTGTTTATGTCCTTCAGACTTGGTGAAGATTTTCAATAAAAGCGCAATGCAGTCTCAATTATATTTGATAGAGACCTTTCTTCAAAACTAAGACAGAGTGATATAAATTTTTTTAATTTATAATGTATTGTTTTTAACTTTGAGTTCAAAACTTTTGATAACTTAAATTGTTTTTACAATTTGCAAAAATTATTTTACAAAATCATCAAAAGTTTGTGTTATAGAATGCCCCGATAATTCAAACATTTGCTAATTTGAACTATTTTCTTGGTCCCTTATTCACTGTACTATATTATATTCTACACTGTATTATAATATATTATATATATATATATATATATATATATATATATATATATATATATATATATATATATATATATATATATATACATATATATATATATATACATATATATATATATATATATATATATATATATATATATATATATATATATATATATACATATATATATATATATACATATATATATATATATATATATATATATATATATATATATATATATATATATATATATATATTTATATACATATTTATATACATATTTATATACATATATATATATATATATATATATATATATATATATATATATATATATATATATATATATATATTTATATATATATATATGTATATATATATGTATATATATATATATATATATATATATATATATATATATATATATATATATAAATATATATATATATATATAAATATATATATATATATATAAATATATATATATATATATATATATATATATATATATATATATATTTATATACATATTTATATACATATATATATATATATATATATATATATATATATATATATATATATATATATATATTTATATATATATATATGTATATATATATGTATATATATACATATATATATATTATATATATATATATATATATATATATATATAAATATATATATATATATAAATATATATATATATATAT